CCCTAAACCCTATATCCTAAATCCTCAACCCTAAACCCTAAACTCTAAATCCCCAACCCCTAAACCCCAAAGCTTCTCAATTTCTGAGACTCCCGGCCCGCCGTTCCAAAAACTCAAACTTCTCAGCCAGCGCTGCCAGGTCCAGCGCCTGGCTGACTTCAGGGGCTCTCTGGTCTGTCCCCAGAGAGCCCAGTACCCCTTCATTAAGGAGTACACCCTAGCACACTACAGGGTCTAGGGTTGAGGGTTCTGGGTGCAGGGTTTAGGGCGTAGGGTGTAGGGTTTAGGGTCCCAGAGAGCCCAGTACCCCTTAATTAAGGAGTACACCTTAGATTATAAGGGGTTTAGGGTTTAGGGTTTAGGGTTGATATTCTGATTTAAGGTATATTCCTTAATTAAGGGGTATTGGGCTCTCTGGGTCTAAGGGTTCTCTTGAAGGGCCCCTTGAAGGATCCCAATAAGACTTTAAGGGTTCCTTTAAGACTTTCAGGTTTCCTTTAAGGTTTAGGGTTTAGGGTTTAGGGTTTAGGGTTTAGGGTTTAGGGTATCTGAAGGAGTACTGCAATGACGATAAGACTGCGGTAAGTTTAATTTTAGGGTTCCTATAGGGGTTCCTAATTTAAGAGTGCTGAAATTATGTTAAGCGTGCCGTAACCTTTGTTGAAAGCGGCTTCCTTTCTTCCTAAGGTTTTGGGTTTAGGGCTGGCTCTATGGATTCAGGCTTTCTTTTCTGTCAGCCGAAGTCGACGTCAAGAAGTGTTTGAGGGGATCTCACCGAATTCTGATTTGGGGCATCGTAAAAATGTCGATGGCTACGGGCTTCACGGGGTATTGGAGATGGGAACCAAAAAAAACTGAAAGTCCTTCCAACTCAACCCCCGTAGCCCCTAAACCCTCAACCCCCAAAGCGTGAACCTGAACTCCACAACCTAAGCCTGCAAGGTCACGTTCACATACCCAGCCCGACCCAAAACAACTGAATCGCTGAACCCCGAAACCCGGCACTGTCACAATCCCAAGGCTCCTAGATCCGAAACTCCTAAGCCCTAAGCCCACGAACCTAGACCCTAACCTGTAAACCCCGAAAACCCTAAACTCTACACCCGCAAGCCCCCAAACCCAAAGCCCTGACCCCTAAAGCTTTAAACCTCTACACCCTAAACTTAAACCTCTCTAAACCCCCCTGAACCCTAAACCCTAAACCCTACACCCTAAACCCTACACCCTACACCCTACACCCTAAACCCTAAACCCTAACCATGGATCTCTACAGGGACTTGGTTCTTCGACATAAGGGGCCACTGTCTCTTGCGCCTGAATGCGGTACTTCTCCACAGGAGGAGTGGCGGGCCTCACTTAGTGCTCTATTCGGGATAGGTCTAAGGGTTTAGGGTTTAGGGTTTAGGGTTTAGGTTAGGGTTTTGAGGGGCTGCTAAACCCTAAACCCCTAGCGACAACTGGAGGGATCCATGCTAGACCTTTTGTTTTACTTCTCGGTCCTTTCAGAGAGTGCGCTGAGAGGCCCCAAGTCGTAGACTTGCATACGGACCGTTTCACGTTCAGGGCCTAGTGCTTCGGGGCTGAGAGTTCTGTTCTTTTGGAGCAGTGGCCGCGGGATAATGCTGCTCAGTTTCGGTTTAGGGTTTAGGGTTTAGGGTTTAGGGTTTAGGGTTTAGGGTTTAGCTACTCAATGTGTAGCATAAACTGTGCCCCACCCTGCGCAAGCCACTCGCAACACATTAAACAGCTTGGCCGCCTGTGTGAAACCTTCTGCACATCCTACGCGCTGGTAAATTTAAAACCACAAAATGGAAAACACGAACAAACAAACAAACAAGCAACCAACGAAACAAGCAATCAATCAAACACACAATAGACAAGCACACACTTACACACAAAGACACACATGAGACCCCACTGACGAAATGGTATGAAACCATGCAAACCCGAGAGCAAGCAAGCCAACCTGGTGCCCAGTGTACTTCCGTCTTTCGGTTTCCTTGATTCTTATGGCAGGGCCCCAGCCGGTCCAAGCAGTAAAACTGGAAGCAATAAGGATCCACAATGGAGACTAACCCTCAACCGTGAACTCGAAACCTGGAAACCTTAAAACCCTATAGTAGAAACCTCATCGAACCCGTATAGTATCCTAAACCCGGCAACCCGATAGAACCCCTGATTAAAGGAATCTACAGGTGGGGAGTTTAGGTTATATAGGGCTTCTATAAGGCTTCCATAAGGTTTTGTAGAGCTTCTATAAGGCTCCTATGATGGTAACTNNNNCCACCTGAAAATGTCCTAGACCTGAAAGGGGCAAAGGATCCCCTACAAGTTACTCCTGAAGGAAGGAGCCCTCAAAGTGACCCGTAGTGGCAGGACGTTTAAAGGCACCTTGAAGGCAACTGTTAAAGGGAGCCTTAATGGAACCCATGAAGCGGAACACTTCAAGGAATCCCTGACCCCTAAACCC